AAAAAAAAAAGAAAAGAAAAAGTTTTGTTCACAAAATCAAACTACAGTTCGTCCTGAAAAGATATCATTCAATTATTCAGTGCCACCTTGTTAAAATGCATTTATCAAATTCTTAAAATACTTACCCTAATATATCTGTGGCAAAAATAACTAACTAACTAAATAATACATACATAGAAAAAGATAAAAAGAATGCCAAACTACTGCAGAATATTTATTGAACAATAACTTTTCCTGTATAAAAGCTACCTGGAATTCAACAAAAGGTGAAATACGAACAATTTAAGTGAACAGAGATCGGAGTGTTATTTTAAAAATGCTTTCTTGCACAAATGAACAATTACATAATGTTTGCATTTACTGTTGTAGCATTTTTATGCGAGCTCCCAAAATTCACTTAAAATATGTCGATTGAATAGCTAGCATATTCTCGTGATGGATGGGTGTTTGAGGACCACGGCATTTCTGCCATGTTGCCGGTAGTTCACACATGTAACCTAGTTTGTTTGCATAGATGAATATGCATGCATGTTACTTTAATAAATCACAATGCATTTTTGCATTGGTTATGACCAAATGATTCATGATGTAAAAGTCTAGAAAGATAGATGCAGTTAAATTGGCAGGATGTTAAATGGATTGTTGTGACACTTACTAGCTAGATTATGAAAGACACTTCAAAGGGATAGTTAACCCCAAAATTAAAAATCTGTCATCCTTTACTCAAGTTGTTCCCCATTGACCTCCATAGAAAAAAAAAATAGTGTGGAAGTCAATGGGGACCAGAAACCTTTTGGTTGGCAACATTATTTCAAATATCTTCTTTTGTGTTCAGCAGAAGAAAGAAACTCCTACAGGTTGGAAACAACTTGAGGGTGAGTAAATGTTGACAGAATTTACATTTTTGGGTGAATTATCCCTTTAATATTTAAAGATCTGGGATGCAAAGTTTAGTTTGAAATAAGGTTGAGCCAAAGAGCACGATTATAATTTCTCCAGCTCTCCAGTCTGTCAGTTATGTGCCCTAGAGTATGAAATATACTGCCAGACTCCTCAGTAGACTCTAAAAGACTGACTGGCGTACTGTTGCTTTTGAACAATGTCTGCTAAATGGCAAGTAACTCAGTCGAATGATGATTTTGCATTTAGATGAACTTTGTTTTGGATTATTTGGCGTAAGTTTACTGTATCTTTGTGCTTGAGCAAAAAGCTTGCCTTTGTACAACTATTGGCCTTTCAGCCTAACTGTGTCAGATGGAGGACTTCTTTTTAAAGGTGCTTTTCAAAGCAGCGTTCTGGGCTGTCAGTCAGTGCCAGAGACCAGCGGGGAGGTCTCGTCAGGCGTCCCTTTCCTCTGTGCCAGGAAATGAAAGTGCAGATAGTGGAGGTAAAATGGAGACCGCAGGGGTAGAGCTGAAGTCTCCTCCCAGAAAGCCTAATTTCTCATGAAGCAGGTGGGAGTCTTTGTTCTCCTCCCGATTCTAAAATCCATTTAGGTTTCCACACCTGGCATACAGGAGGAACATTTCCTGTTTAATGGGTAGAGAATGAGTCTCTAATGAAGTGGCAGACACATTTTGCATCACAAACTCTGTTGGTGGAACACTGGCACCTGTAAAAATCACTTTATTGGCATATAACATTGTTTTATGTTTGTAGGTTATATGTGGGTTATTTGTAGGCTGCATGTTGGCTGGAAAGGTGCAATTTGTACCGTACATAAAATGATCACATCAACCAAAGTAACCGTAATACATTGAGGAAGCACCAATACATATACATTGAGGAAGCACCATTAGGGGGTTGCATCCTCATCAATATTCAGATTAGTGGTCAACAAAAATGGATTTTCAATGGCTCGTTCTTAAACGATTGTTCCCATTCTTACATTTTGTAACCACCTAGTAAAATACTAAGTTATTTAATGTTGCTAAGCCTAAATTACAACATTATTTCAACTGCAGAGTGAGTTTGGAATTTGTAAAATTTTAATAAATAAGTAAATATTTTGATTATGGCAACTCTCGGAATGGTTTTAGCTCGTTAATCCATATGTCAGAGTTAATGTATTTGGTCATGGTGGACTATATCTGCTGCTACAGAACAAGTATGGAAGTCGTGGCCTAATGGTTAGAGAGTCGGACTCGTAACCTAAA